TTACCCAGCTCATATAAACTCTTGGGCCATCGACTTAAAATAAGGAGGTCCGGGTTTCAGGAGAACTCACCAAGGTCACCTGAAGAATGCAGTGATCCGGGGGGGGCTCAATGGGCCCTTATTGGTACCGAATGCCGGTTCAGTGTAGATTCCAGGTGGCCTCCGGTGGGTGTCTCTGAAATCCTGCCGCGACTACGCCAAGATCTGTCGACGAAAATAATCCATATCCAATCTATAAATGAAAATTTGGGTGAGTTTATTCTGAGCTTAAATCTGAGGATTATAACCCGGGAGAGTCTTTCCACAAAGGAACAGAGCACTCCAAAGAAGTCGGGGTATAAGGGTGGTTATATACCCTCAAAGAGGATGTTTCACATAGGATTGAAATGTCCCTTTTACAATAGTCGCGAGACTGCTCTGTCGGCACAGCGATTGATGGAAATAGCAGGTAGGTCTGCTGTCTCTGTGAACACAGCAGGGTGGCAGTCTGTTGTCTCCAGCTGGGTGGTCACAGGTGAGCTGGGAGGTGAGTGCAGCAATCAATTCCTAGCCTAAGGAAAAATGCTTATCCCTAAGGAAATGCTAATGTGGGGGAAAGTTGCACCTTTATCTCAAGGGCCTTTGTTCTGGCCATAGGAAATGTCTAAGTAGATATGCAATGCGTGCTCAATAGCCACAGTCAGGCCCTTTTGAAAAAAAGAATCAGGCCGAATTAGTTTTATACCAAATGGCTTCCTCATATACTCCAATATATCCTAATGCTTGCCATTTTTATTTGTCAAAGAAGATAGTTTATAGAGTTCTTAATTTCAGTCACAAAAGGTAAATCTAAGCCTTCAGATTCTGTCTTTCTGGGTTTTGTCACCAGGTGAGCAGATACCCTAAACCTCAGGTCTCTGGGGCCTTGGTGGAGGAAAACAAAGAAGAAATGTGAAGCCATTGTGGCCTTTTCAGTAGGTCTCAAACCTGCATCTTAGGTGGAAGTTGGGTAAGGATTTGGTGGGGTAAACCCATGGGAAGAATCAGCATGAACTGACTTTAAGCTTGAAAATCTGAGCATTTGGGATATCTTAATGAGAACAATACTAATAGAGGCACAATTTCCTTCTCAGACTCTGGGGACCCGGCACACACTGAGGCGTGGAGTAGGGTCATACCCACGGCACTGTTTCTTCTGGAGAGCAGCACCCACCTGCCCACTCCATGTGGGAACCAGTCCATTCAGAAAAAGGACCACGTTTCCAAGCCCTCTTAGAGTCTCTTACATCCATGATGAGGCTTCTTTTCGTAATAATAAGAAGGTTGGGCAGTTTTTCTTCATCTTTTTGGTAACTTTTAAGTCACCACGTGCTGAGATTGCTACTGCTGAATCAAAAAACTAGGAAAATGCTCCCCAAATTTAGAAATCTACCCCTCAATCTTGCACCTAATAGAATGTAGTAGAGTTTGGCTGGAAGGAAATTCCTGGGATAGGACCTCAAGTTTTCCTAGGAATTCGTGTGGGACAGCTTTGCCTGTCTTTGCACAGGTCTTCACTGGGTCACCCTGCAGATCTGCTCACACAGGCTCACAGCTCTGATGCGCAGCCCCATGACACGTCAAGGCCTGCATGCATGTGGCCTCCACAGCTGCGCCACAGGGTGGGCAGGAGGGCAGCCAAAGGCCTCTCTGCATGTGCACAGCGCCAGGTGTGGGTGGGGGCAGGGAGGACCCCCACTGCTGAACCTGAGCCTGCCTGCCACATCTGCACGGAGCGCCCTTGAGTGACAGGTGTACACGGATGCCACATCGCTGCCAATATATTATGAGACCATGGTAACAATCGCGCATCTCCAGGGAGCATGCTGCTTCGTTCTTCACTTTCAGACATGAAAGAAATCATTTCAGGTGCCAGAAAAGGATCTCTGATAAAAGAAAACATTTCAGCTTTCATCGCACTTGAGTTTGCCCCAAAGCAATGGCTTTGATAGGATTTTTTTTCCAGTCTCTTTCTTTATGTTTACAGTTAATCCATGATTATCTACAGTCTTCTGGCCTATAGGGTTCTAGTAGAAAAGAATCGGTTTCTTTCTTTAAAAGAACATTCTTTTTAAAAACTTATTTGAATGTTATGTATAGTAACATTTACATAGTGCTTGACCGTTTGCAAACAACTTTCACACACAGAACCTGGTTTTAGTTCACTTAATCCTCACAAGAAACATGCGAGGTAAGAATTACAAGATTATCTCTGTTCGGTAATGAATAATATTATGTTTCATTCAAAGGGATCGAAAAACGTGGAATTACCCCCTGAAAATTTCTTGACATCCTTTTGATGAAATTCTCCCGCCATCAACCCATCAATGGAAAACTGTGAAGAAACAGTGGAATTGTTCGAAACAAGCCAGACATCTGAGGCTGTTTCCTGCTTTTCCTAAAGTGCTGTCCTCAGTTACACGTGACAAGGATGGTGGTAGGAAGTGGAACTCAGGAGCTCTGCTCTGTTTTCCTCCTCAAAGTCTTATTAATTCATTGGAATTTGCTTTGTGTTTAAGAACCCATGACAAATAGAGAGCAAATTTACCCAAATGAAGCGTCAGCTTTGTGTCCCAATTCCTCATTCTACAGGGTTTGAAATTTGGAGTGTAGCAGTGCTAAATCTACGTATTCCTATTTCTATATATAGATTGCTGCAGTATATCCTCATTAGATCCTTGATCTTAGTTAATTACAATTAAAAGCCTCAAACTGTGGTAGCAAGAAAGAAACCCACAGTCCTCGCCCAGGATTGCCTTGGATTCAGGAGCCTTTGGGATCAGGAACACAATGCTCCCTGGCTTCCCCGGAGCACGGCAGTGGGTGGCTCCCAGTCCCATCTGTTTCATGATCTCAAGGCCTGTGATAACACCAACCCCGGCTCCAGTCAGTACCCATTGCGATCACAGGAGCCCACGGGCCAGGAGAGGAGGGAGGACGCATTCCACTGCATCCACTGTGGACGGACTGCAAGGCCTTCCCCGGAAGAGGCAACTAGAAGTGAAGTTAATTCAGAGACAAGTTAACCAGGTGCTCAGAAAACTGTCATGACTGCTTCTGAACAGTGGAAAGGAGAGAAGGGAAGTGCTTATATTTGGGAAAATCAGGATAAAGTCCCACATTAACCGATCCCTAACCTCTTTGTCTCTGACCTTTATTATTCTCAACTGTAAAATGAGCGATGTAACCAGTTCAAAATTGTATGATCTTTACTTCCACTACTGTTGGATCGATGGTGAGTTGGGGAGAAGTGTCTGAGGAGTGTGGGCAGCTCTGACTCCGGTCCCTCCTTCCTCGCTCCCTGCGTTCAGTCATTCACTCATAAACACGGAGCTCTGCTCTCCACAGGCATTAGAAGCTGAGTGCTCAAATATGACAAGGTGTCTGGGTGCTCCTCGCAAGGCATATAATGATTCATTTAATTAAGTGACCCCAGAGGAATTAATTTTCCTCTGAAGTTCAGCGGGCTCTTGAGAGGATGTTTTATTATCCCCACTCCCCATGGCATGGGCCCAGCCCCTTCACTGCAGGCCAGGCTTGCAAAGCAGAGCAGTTGAGCTTTGAAGGGCAGGAAGGATGATGTTCCGGGAGGAGTTAGGACACATGGCTTGACCCTCTGTTCCCCCCAGGACCAAGCCCTGGTGGGGTCAGGCGGGAGGCACTGTTCCTGCTCGTGAGGAAGCCCCACAGGATGACAGGGAGCTCCTCTGTTGTGCAGCATTTTGTCAAGCACGTTTTCATCCACTTATCCCAAGATCAATTCCAATTAAACCTGACTGTTCAACACTTCCAGCGGTTCTAATGAGCAGGTAGAGCCGGGGTGCTGACACCACGTGGAAAACAAGAAGAGGCCAGTGTTGGGGACGAGGTTGGACTCCCATCAGGAGGTGACCCAGCAGTTCAGCTCCCAGAGCTGTCCTCTCGCTGGAGTCCAGAGGACGGGCCCACGCTTCCTGTCCCGGGTCATCCTGACCTTCTCCTTCCTGGGTCTCTCTCCAGCTTATCAAGGCGAGAACACCGGTGTCCTATTCCCTTCGTGCCTCTCTGCCTCACCTGTGACCCTCACTGCCCTTCCTCCTCCCATCCACCTGCCTTCCTGTATCTCCCTGGGGCTCCCACGATGATCTTTTCTTCTAATTTTCAGCAGATTTTCATTTAACCTTATAATTATTCGGGGGGGAGAAGGACTTAGGAAATTAAAAATAACACAATTAACAATGTTTAAAAATCTCTTTTTCCTGGAAACTATTGTGGAACGGAGTCGGTACGAGATGGTGATGAAGAGCGGTCTGCTTAGGAACAACCAGCTCCAGTACCTCCTGTGTGACCCTGGACAAGAGCGATCTCTCTGTGTCTCAGTTTCTCCATTTGCCAATCGGGCAACAGTAGTGCCTGCCTTGGAGGGCCAATGGACTCGGAACCAGGCACCCGCGGGCACTGACGCCAGGCTAGGGGTGTGGGAGTGCTTGGGAGACCTGCGCTCCGGGCACTTAGAGTGTTGGCTCTTCTGCTTGCGTCATGCTCAGGGAAAATTGATCAGTCATTGATACCACCTGAGGGGAAAGCACCAGCAGGATGGACCAAGCTGAGGCCAAGACTAGGCCATGAGCCTGCCCGTGATCTACAGCTAGAGTCCCCATCGATAGATGCCAGACACTGCATTGAGCAGATTGAGTGTATTGATGTAAAAGAATTATAGTCTTATATATATATATATATACAGGAGAAATATTCATAATTCCTAAATGAGATACCCTTCATATTCTCAGATTTTTGCGACTTTACATCATTCTCCTCCCGGGTTGATTAATATGACCAAAATCCAGTTTGCACACCCTGCTGCTTTTATTTAATTAAAAGGAAAAGAAAGCATAAAGTGAAAGTGATCCTTTATTTCTTTTTCCTCCTTGCTTACTCCTGCTGGAAACTTCCTCTTGCCAAGATCCACTTGGGAAATTTCCATTCCAGGAATATTTTATGAAGTTGCAAGAGACAAATTAGGTGATTTGAATAAGTTAACATTGTGTCTGCTGCTTTGAAGATCACAATACACAGCATAAGTAATACATGCTATTTTCCTTGTGGGGGATGCAAAACTTCATTAGCTGAGATTTTATAAAACATTTACAGATCCTTAATCAAGAGGCCGCTGGAGAAGGACAGGCAGTGTGGTGAGGAACGCTTGGCTGATAACAGACACAGATATTTAAACTCTAACTTAGTTTGTGCAGTGACACCAGACCTCATAGTGCAAAAATGGCAGCAGAGCCCTGCCTTAGAAAAGTGAGTGGCATTCCTAGGGTACAGGCAGCAAACATAGACTTATTACTCCAGATTAGTTTAGTTAGACACAAATAGGATACGCTGAACTGATTATCAAGGTTGAAAGTACTGTACATTCATCCATGTTGCAAATTTAGCCACCTTCACTGTTGCCAACAACTGATGAGCTTTCTTCTTTCCAAGAACAAGAAGGCATTAATTCTTGGGGGCTGGTCCCGTGGCCGAGTGGTTAAGTTTGCACACTCTGCTTTGGCGGCTCGGGGTTCAATGGCTCAGATCCTGGGTGCAGACCTACACACCACTCCTCAAGCCATGCTGTGGCAGCATCCCACATAGAAGAGCTAGACTGACTCGCAACTAGCATATACAATTATATACTGGGGCTTTGGGGAGGAAAAAAAAAAGAGGAAGATTGGCAGCAGATGTTAGCTTAGGACCAATCTTTCTCACCAAAAAGCATACCTTTAACAACAACAACAAAAAGAATGGAAAGATGTCCATTTGTCACTGATAGATAATTCCCAAAAGTTTCTGCTGGTGCATTCAAAAAGAAAAAAAAAGAAAAAAAAAGAAGGCATCAGTTCAGCACTTGGCAAATAGGCTTTTCCTCCATTCGTGCCTCCCTCCTGGTTCACACTGACTCCTTCCTTCGGGGAGACTGGAGCCTCACCTTGTTTAGAGGGGATACTATTTCAGGAGAACACATTTCGCTCCAGGTGTATTAAAGGAAGAAGATTTTCTCCCACATTAGGATTGCTTAAAACCTCTAACCTGGCAGGTAACCTCTTTCTATTCAGTGTCCCCACCATGGTCAGCAGCTCAGGAGTGAACTAGTGGCTGATGATCCACAGGCCTGTGGAGCTGGCCGTCTTCTCTCCCTGTCTAGCAGAGCATGGAAGTGCTTCTCCATGCAAACACACGTGCCACGACCCCAGGTGCCAGGGTGAGATGGAATGTCCGGTGGGAGCCCACCCTGAGGTTTCTGTGGAAACCCTCGAAGCCACCAGTGTAGAAAGACTTCAGCATTCCTACTAACTTCTTCTCAGAACCTCTACATTGCCAAAAAATTATAGTACTGAAATAGCAGCTGGAGGAAGAGAGGCACAGTATGCTACAGACGGAGACCACTGAGGTTCCCACCCAGGTCAGAAGGCCACCCTGTGATGATGTGTCACCTCATGAAGTGCCACAGGCATTTACAGTGCTATTGGGAGAAGGATGGAATGACTAGTCTGCCCCCAAATGCTCCAATTTAACTTACCAACCAGTGCAAATGCTAGTCGGCCCTACCCCTTACTGCATGCTAAGAGCCGTCTGTAGACTGGAAACTGCCGTGGAGGCTGTGCGGATGGGGGGGCTCCCCTTTCTTAGCTCGGGGCTGTCAGTTTCCGGGTCCTTCCCTCATGGAGAATGCACCTTCTATTGCCACTCTGTTTTGGCAGTCTGAAGGGGTGCTTTGGCCGAAACTGCTTTATCTGGGGGAAAATGGCTCCGCAGCGCGCGCAGGCTCTGCAGTGCACGAACTGAGCGTTTCAAGGCAATAGAAGAACCTTGGCAAAATCTGGAAAAATTATCTTCAAACCTACAAAAACAAAGGTTAGCGATTTCTCCCCGTTCCCGTAGTTCCAGCCCCCTCAGCTCTGCTGCCTCCTCTCTCCTCCCTCTGTCCTCACCGTCTCTCCTTCTGGGTGGACGTCTCTGTCTGTTTATCATTCTTCTTCCCTCCTTCTCTCCACCCTCCCTCCGCTCTCTGTATCAACATGCCGCCCGTCCAGTTTTATGTTACTGTGTTCCAACTAACCAAGCAGGGGTGCTTTTAAAGATGGGCTGATTTATGGAAAGAAATAAAAACAATCCGAAGGATAATAACCAACAGATTGGAGAGATGAAGGAATTATTAAGGAGTGAAGCCACGGCGGGGTTTCGTGCCGTTATGCACGGATGACTCCCTCGGCCTGAAAGTCTGCGCAAACGTTGGACACTCTTCTGCTTTCTCTTTTCGTCTCTTCTCTTTTTTTTCGTTTTTCCTTTTCAAAATAAAAATAGAAAGAATACAATCCACAAAACAGAGCTTTCGCGTGTATGTTTGTTCATGTTTTAGAGAGAAAAAAAAAACCCCAGGGCATTGTGTGAGAGAGAGCTGCTCTGTGGCGAATCAACAAGGGTTTACTGTTCTGAGCAGCACTCAATCAAATGTGGCCCCATGAACAGAGAGTAATGTTGGTGAATCATCCTGCGGGCTTTTTTTCTGTGTGTGAGTGGTATCCATCGGTCAGCTGTCAATGCCAGTGAGAGATATACAGGGCTGTCACTTCTCGTCAAGCAGCATTTGTGAAGTCTTTTGCAGCTGCTGCACAACACATACTGTCCTTATTGAAGGCCAGTGAGCAGTCAGAGATGATTGTGCTGGCCAGGGCGAGAGGGAGAAAAGAGATGTCAGGGCTGCTCTGGGATAACAGTGTCGACTCTTCAAAGACACAAGTACGAACTGCATTTGTTTCTTTAAAAAAGAAAAAAAAAAAAGGAATTAAAGAAAGGAAAAAAACTCTTGGAAGGTAATGTAACTATAATTTGTCTCCAGAGGATCCTATGCAGGTTGGGGTTTGAGGGCCTGTGAAACCCATAACAGTGACCAAAATTTATATCCCAGTAAATGGACATGTTCAAGGTAGAGACCAGGATACATATTTTTAAAATCAGTGAATATAGGGAGAGCATAAGTTTTTTATGGTCTCCCCTAAATAAATTATATTACTACAAAGATTATGCATATGCATAAAAGTTTGCATAATAGCACATATGCTTAATATGTGTTTGTAATGCAAAAAGAACATCGTGAACCACGGACATGCCCATACTATAATAATGCAGATGTTAGAAACTGGGCTAATTTTGATATGGAAACACTCTATTAATCATTACTCTGCTACTCCATTGGACATTTCAATATGTTTATTTGTAGGGTGACTTCCGCCTAATTGAATTATTCTAAACTAACCATGGCTCTGGTTTTCTGATCCCCCATCTCCAGGAAGTTCTTTGTACAACATCTGCCTGAGCAAAACTGCCTTTGCCAGCCCTTAATATACCCACTGGTGCCCAGCTGGGAATGAAATGGAGAAGTTCAGTGCGCCCTTTTGTTTGATTCTTGTTTTAAGGTATTGCAAAATTTGATTGTGTTTTAGTTTTTTTTACACAGGTCTAGTTAAAAAAGAAGTCAGATATTTTGGGCTTCCATATATCACATATTCTTATTTTCAAAAAGAAAGGGCTAAGGGATTTCTTGGAAAAATGAAGGATTAATTGATGGAAGAGCTGCTGAAATAGTGAAAAGAAGAAATGCAGACAGCGTTGGTGATCAGAGTAGTACCTTACAGGATCCTAATGACGATATTAGCTGGAGTGCATAAAAGGAGAGGAAGTGAAGGCTGTAGCCGGTGAAATAAGTATCATGGGGTGTATTGACTAAAATCTTTGGGCTGAAAGCCTAAGATGTAATGTTTATATTCCTGTCGTATAAAATGCTTTCTTCATGGGCCAATGGGTAGAGGATGAGCTGAGGTGAAAGAAGAGAAATTGATGAATCATGCTTATTATGGTCTTGGATTTGATTCCAGGGGATCCTGCAAGAAAAATTTGAGTTCACAGTTTCTGTATTCAAAGAGGCTATAATCAGGTTGTGAAGACCACATTTAACGTGACAAAGGTGAATAAACCAAGTACATTACAGAAGTGTTCACATACAATTTAAGAGGGTGGCCAATATAGTGCCATTTTTGTTTTAACTGAGTGGATCCGAAGCAATAATTGTCACATGTGTCTAAGAAGGAGATCAATCACTTTACATCTGAGTCATAAATAAACACTGGATCTGGAGGGCTGGGAGGAACCCATTAGGTAGAATGAAGAGCAGAAAGTGTTTTGGGCATGTTTCTGCCCCTATGGCTGCTTTAACAAATTACCATAAAGTTAAAGGCTTAAAAAGTCCCACAAATTTATTACTTACAATTCTGGAGATCAGAAATTCTACAAGCAAGGTGTCTGCAGGTCTGTGTTCCTTTGGGAGGTTCTAGTGGAGAACCTATTTCCTTGCCTTTTCCAGCTTCTAGAGGCTGCCTGCTTTCCTGGGCTTGTGGCTCCTTCCTCCTTCCTCAGGGCTAACAGAGCAGTATCTTCAAATCTCTGTCTCTCTCTCTCTCTCTCTCTCTCTCTCTCATCTGTGCTTTTGTCTTCACATCTCCTTCTCCCTCTGCTTGCATTGTCACATCCCTTTCTCTGACTCTGACTCTCCTGTCTCCCTCTTATAAGGACCCTTGTGATTAAATTTTTCCCGCTTAGATAGTCCAGGATAATCTTCACATCTGAAGGTCCTTAACTTCGTCATGTCTGCAAAATCCTTCTCCCCATGTAAAGTACTGTACTTAGAGGTTGCGAAGATTAGGATTCACCAATCTTTGGGAAGGACCATTTTCCAGCCAACCGTAGGCAGCAAAGACCTTGGTGCAGGGATTAGAGATGGGAAACCGCGTGGCACATCTGGGGAAGCCTGGTTGGAAGCAATTTGCCTGGAGCGGAGGGGTGGGAAGAAA